TTATACATAAAAATATATCTCAAAAAAAAATAATAATAAAAAAATATATATATATATATATATATATATATATTCACAAAAAAATGTATACTGAATTTGCAAAATAAAATAAAATAAAATAAATTTGAGTATAATAAAATAACATTTTACGGAGGGATAAAATGGGAAATAAGTATTTACATTTTGCACACAATGTATATTTTTTGCCAAAAGTGAACCTGAGGAAAATGTTTCTGAAATTTTAAATAGGGGGAGATCTGAAATTGTCATTAACTTCAATGGAGGTTTATGTAATTTTCTCTTAATTCTACTCTACTGATCTAATCAATTAAATACATTAACCGAAAATTAGATTCATTAGCTACCTATATAATTAAATAAAATCATTGTATTCGATCAACTAAATTTTTTTAGGATTATGTCACTTTGACAGAAGGTATTTGACAGATAGAGTGATATAATGTGATTTGACAACATATAATTTAATTAAAAAGTTGTCTGCGTTTAAAATAGTCTAATGATGAAATGTCATATAACATTATGTCAATCATTATATCATACATTATTTCACTGTAATGTGATTCATCTTTTTAAGTTTAGCCATACATGAAAGTTAATATCAAAGTTTCTCCATTAAGTGTTAGCTTAACTAAAATATCTTTCTTTTCTCTCGCTATCTCCCCTGGATAACCCACTTCCACTTGATTTGAGAACGAAGATTCGACTGAAAGCAGCCGGAATGGAAGGTGGTGTTTCGTGGAGAGCGATTCTCATTCGTCAGGCCGGGGCTCTGCTCTCTTTCTTTTTGTGTGAGACAATGCCGGGGATAGAAGGAAGGTCTGAAGAAGCTGAAGCATCAATCTGTATCTTATTATTCTAGAAATGACTCTTTGGTTACAAGATTAACTTAGAAACCCTAATTGAAAGAGTAAAATTTTCATTTAAATTCATAACCGAAGGAAAAAAATTTACAGAGCAAATACATTTCATTTAAGTTTTTAGCAAAAACTGTGTTCCAGGTTTTACCTCATATTCTTGTGGGAAATTTGTTTTTTATAGAGAGAGAATATAAACATGTTTACGTGCTTTTCATTCCATAAATATAATGTAAGATATTTATATAAACAAAATTTTTAATTTCAATCTCATTCGATTGTCATAATGTGATACCATTTCAATATATGGTAATGTCATTATTTGTTTAATATATTCTTTTACTTTTAATGAAAGAGTCAAGCAAAGAATAGAGAAGAAAAAATATGTATATAAAGTAGAGATAAAAGTTTAAATTTAAGAATATACATAACTGAGATAGATGACAAAGTCCACCGGTTAAACAATTTAATTATTTAGCACGTATCAAATTATTGTTACCTCAAATTACATAAACAATACATTTTACAATCAATTATGGGTCATGAGAAAAGATAGATGATAAAGTCCATCAGTTATACAATTCATGGTTAATTATGTGGTAATGGAAACTCTTGAGTACATTTATTTAGAGGTTGTCACTAGTTTTCCGGCCACCAGAAATCGATTTAGTCCTTGGATCGTATCCACAATTTGCTGTGGCTCCACTGTAGCAATTAGGCTTAGCCCCCATTTGATAGCAAATTTTCACCTTAAAAAATCAATTATTTAATCATTATTTCACTATTTTCAGTCGTCATTTTTTACTTCTTCACCCACATATGAGATCCATTTTTCCCTTTAATGATCAAAAAATCAATTCTCATGGTCAATATTGAACAGGCCCTTACTCTTGGAGATCGACCCTCCATTTCAACTTTTTCCATCTCCATCCTTATGATTCACCATTCAAACAGTAAGTGTAAATCAACGTATTTTAACATAACTTCAAAAGATCAAGAAAAAGATACATTTAAATAAACACTTATCAAGTCTAATTTTGTCTACTTACGTGTCAAAACTCGTCCACTTCAACTTGACAACAAATATAATGTTATGTTATGTATTAAGCCATTTGTACAGAAATTTTTTCACAGAATCTGGTCATATTACTCTTATGTGTAGGACCCATCGCGAATAAAAAATTGCCAAAAAAATTCCCCACCCACCCCTCTTATGTATGTGTTCTGGCAGACTAGTGTATCAAGTCTGCCTGTACACACAGTAGGTCTATAATGCTATTGTGAGAAATCTGGAAATGAAATGGCCTGTGTATTGGCAGCAGCTGAAGAAATAATTGAAAAGGCGAATAAGAGAGAGCAGCAAATCCGAAGTGCAACCGCCATTTCTGACTAATGAAAAGCTAACTTATGATATTTATAATTTAAATATAAGTGGAAAATAGAGGTTATAAAGAAATCATCACCGACTTTGACATAAATTTTCTAGATTCATCTAAAATTTACCATCTTTATTAGGGAAAATTGCAGCCTAAGTACCAATCCTTTCGTTTATTAGCAGACTTTGCCCAAACCTTTGATTTGTGCCAACGTGAGTACCAAACTTTTAAAAAATATGCAGCTCAAGTCCAAAATGATGGTTTCCGTCTGTTTGACCTCAAAATCCGTCAGTTGACCCAAAAATCCATCAGTTGACCTCAAAAATTAAAAATTTAATAATTTGACCACATAAGACAATGTTAAAATGGTCATTTTACCATTTTAATATAAAACAATAAAAAAAAAGGAAAAAGAAAAATTGATCATCTCCTCCAACAACCCCAACCCCCATCCCCCAATCCCACAAAAATGTTGTCTGGTTGACAAATTGAACCCAAAATTAGCCAAAAATCAGCCAAAAATCTTAATTGATTTCACATAAACGTTATTGGCTTCCACATTTATACAGTCAAAACCTCATTATCCATGCTTCCTTTCAATTGATCCATTTTGGCATTTTCCGACAACCTGTACCTCCTCACAAAACTCTCGCTATTCCTTTCAATTCTATGCCATTTATCGCCCTTATCTTCCAACTCTATCTTCCTCTCATCACTTATCAACAGAATTCAATCATCTTCAAGCTCCACCTTCACATCTTCCTTCCGCAGCCCCCGCAAGTCAGCCTTGAAAACCTAAGTATTGGGGGGTCTCTTGCCAGTTAATCAAAGCATGGGCAAATTATGCAGTCTCGGAATTTAAAGATGATTGGGAGTTGGACCATAAATTGTCGGATAAAACTGGGAGTGGGGGCAGTGATTTACGGGTATGGCCGGACGGTGGTGGCACTACCGGCGGTGGATGGCAGGTGGCATATGGCGAGAATGGTTTTCCCCATTATTGGGTAGGTGGGGATGAGAAGAAATATATACAGAGGTTGTATGTATATTCATATGTATATGTATATGTGTGTGTGTGTGTGTGTGTGTGTGTGTGTATATATATTAGTTTAATTAATTAATTTATA